AGTCAGATGAGCAACCCCAGGCAGTGGGATGGCTTCTGCCGGCTTCCGAGCTGCCCAGAGTGAGTAAGCACAGTGCATGGAAATAGCAGCTAAGAATGTCACCGCCCACTTCCCAAACTTTCCAAGGAAACAGTGGCCCAGCTGAGGCCGTCTGAGCAAAACGGAGGCACCCCAGTGTGTGTGCAGCCAGAGCTGGGCTTCCCTGGAAGAGAACGCTGTCTGCAACTGTCTTTGTTTCCTGTCCACAGACAGACAGACCCCTTGGTGGGCGTCTGTGGCTCAAGCCCAGGCACGCACACTGGGCCAGGCCCCACCCGCCCACACCAGGTGGCACCAGTTAGCCATCACCTGACAGGTCAGCTACCCCACGACAACAGGCCACTCAGAACCCGTCAGCCTGGGGTCCTCCTCCATAGAGAGGGCTCGGTTCTGCCCAAGCAGCCGCCCAGGCTGCTGTGAAAGCCTGTGAATAGCCAAGTGTGGCTTCGGTTGCTACCAGTCACCCTGGCAGTGCCCCCTCATGGTCTGTGCTGTCCTCTGAGGCCTTTTACAAATCCTCCCCTAAGGCTCTGTCGTTTTTAAAAACTGATGGAGCCCTAGCTGGCTTGGCTCAGTGGATAGAGCGTCAGCCTGCAGACTTAAGGGTCCCAGGGTCGATTCTGGCCAAGGGCACATGCTGGGTTGCAGGCTCGCTCCCCAGTGGGGGGGTGTGCAGGCGGCAGCTGATCAATGATTCTCTCTCATCATTGATGCTTCTATCTCTCTTTCCTTCTCTCTTCCTCTCTGAAATCAATAAAGAAATATATTTTTAAAAAATTGATGGAGAGGGAGAGAAAGAGAAACATGGATGCCCATGCCCCTAAAGAGTGGAGTGGTGGCCTGTGGTGTACAGCCAGTGCTCCAACCCGCCAGGGCCCCCTCAGGGCTCCTGCGATGGAAGGGCGTCAGGTGCTGTGGGTGAGACACACACTGAATTTGGAGATTTAGTGAAAAGGGGGGATGAAATATCTCAATAACTTAATACTGATTACGTGTCAAAATGACAATATTTTGAAAAATATTTGATTAAATAAAATATATTATTAAACTTTTAAAAATAAAGTCGTGAAAAGTAGTAGCGAAACGACTGAGCCCAGCGACCTCAGGGTTGGAGGCAGAGTCTAAGGGTGTAGGTCCACCGGGCACAGCCGGTGCTGTGGGATGCGGGCGGGCCGCACCGAGCCGGCCCCGCCCAGTGCCCCTGTGCCCGCCTCCCCTTGGGGACACCCTGAGTGCGCCTGGCCCCCAGCATCACCCCAAGGACTAAGTGTTTCACGGTCAGTTAACAGGGTCTCTTCAGGTTCTGGTCAGTAATAATAAACCCTAAAACAGTGATGGCGAACCTATGACACGCGTGTCAGAGGTGACACGCGAACTCATTTTTTTGGTTGATTTTTCTTTGTTAAATGGCATTTAAATATCTACACTAATAAAAGAGAAACATGGTAATTGGCGTACGACCGCTACCCTTTTCATTGGCTAATCAGCAAGATATGCAAATTAACTGCCAGCCAAGATGGCGGCCGGCAGCCAGGCAGCTTGAAACTAATATGAGGTTTGCTTGCTTCAGTGACAGAGGAAACCAATGTTCCCCGCCTGCCCTGCAGGCCTCTGAGCCTGCAGTTTGAAACATTTTAACAAATACAGAAGCTAAAAAAAAAACCCAGAAACCAGCTTTCAGTGAGCTGGGATCTCCGAGCTGGAGTCAGAGCTGGAGTTATACATTGTTTCAA